TGTCAAGACCGTAGGAAGTGAGGTCTCAGTGGCTACTGTTTTGTCCCAAACCACCAGCAAGCTTGTGTCACTACGTAAGGTGACATTAGGAAAGTGATGATCTGTGAGTCAATCACTCATGTGTGTCCCAGCCCCCAGATAATCCACCCCACTGACATCTTTGGTACTCAATATTATGTCACTATAGTCCACCCCAGCCCCCAATTTTGGTTCAGAAAAATGATCTCCTTGTCAGTATATCCCCTCTGGTCCTGACCATGAGCTTTCACCCACCCAATGAAAGGATCCAGTCACTCAACCCTTTGGAAGAATAAGTCATGAAAACTGTCACCCCATAACTTCACTAAGGGGCCTCCAGTGGTATCAGGGTCGAAGCTGGAGCCACATCGTCTCAAAGAGTGGCCAAGCAGAAGGGATCTTGACCTCCAGATTGCGGGGTTCAAATAGGACCAGCTCAGGCCTAGGATGCATGAGATCAACCTGTTTCCCTCCTCCCCCCAGTTTTGGGAGATCTAGGGAGTGTGAACCTTTATTCGTGCATGATTCAAAGTGGGGTTCTCTCTGTCAAGTTCTGTAATGATGAAGACCCTGAATCACACAGGTAGGGACAGGCAGCTCAGAGCAGAGGCCAGCAGAGGTGCTGGCCTTCCCAGAGCTCGGGCTAGAAGGGGCAGTGTCCCCCAAAGAAAAGGCCAGTGCCATACTGCTCTCTCCAACTTCTGATTTGGATACAGCGAGCTCCAGAACATGCCGTGGCATGACCTCAATATTTTTGCCCTGTGGATTCTCAGCCCCTTGCTGACCAGCAACACCCCACCCGCGGTGTTTCCTGAACAACGCCCTCCCCGCCCAGCCTTTCAGCCTGCCTCGGAGTCCTGGGGTTGAGCTCAGCTTCGACTTCCTCACATTGGGTGGGCATGACACAGGCGAAGCCTTTTCCTTTCTCCGTTTGTGTTTTTAATCTTGGAAAACGATACCTATAATAAGCAGAGACATTCTTTGCTGGTGACTCAAAAGTCAGTGAAAACGGGAAGGGACAAGGAGGGGCAGCTTGAGTCACCTTCCCCAAAAACCACCGGTCATGTGGGGCTTCCCTTTTGCCTTGTCCTTTCCTTTTTGAACAAAGGTCCGCGATGACAGATCTTGGGTTGCTCTCCACCAAAAAATATCTCCATGCAAAGAAGCTCATGTCCCCAGCCGGGAGCATGGAGGAGGTCCAGGTGCTGGTAGTAGCCGACATGTGGCAGCCACACGCATGCAGGCCTTGCACCCACATGGGGTCAGGAGGACAGACAACACTCAGTAAATGCAAGGGGCAGTTCCCAGCTTCAGGCCCTGACACAGAAAGCCAGGGCTGGCTGGGGGGCTCCACTTCTCATCTCTTACTCGAGCTCCTTCCCCCCTACTTCTTATCTCCTTATTGGAATGACAGGAAAATCCAGATGAGCAAAGAAGGCTGCAGAGGACAGTGGGCCACACTCCAGTCAGCCTGTCGTTGGCCAGTGGGGCTCACGCATGCTGCTGCGTTGTCTACCTGTTTTGCTGACTCCCCTATGTGAACAAAAAGGGAGACCACAAGGGTCAGTGCTGTGTTCCAGGCTAGTAAAGCACAGGGACTTCCCACCCTTCAGGGAGAGCGAGCTGACCTCTTCCTCGGGTAATCGTAGGTTAAGGGGTGTTAGGTAAAGAGGCCGTCAGAGTGTTGCCCCCCCACCTCGCCAAGCTGCCCCGCAGGGAGCAAGGGAAGGAGAGGGAGGTGGGCATACAGGTGAGATGCTGGGGAATAAATCCCTCAACCTCTCTCTTCTCTTCCCCAGCCCCTGCCTATGTTCCTCACTGTCCAGCTCAACCGGAAGTCAGAGGCCAGGACGCCCACCAAGGGGATCTTATAGCCTGGCGAGGGCGCAGAGGCTCCAGGACACCCACATAGACCCCTGGGGTGGGCGTCCTAGCAAACGCAATTACTTATTTACATTCCTGTTCCACTGGACCGCAAGCTCCATGTGCTGACATTTATGACGTTAACAAGCACAGGGGAGAGGACTGCATGCAGGAAGGAAGGAAGCAGTGGTTCAGGGAGGCCGCAAGGCTGACGAGCTCTCAGCATCTCAGCGTGAGCGTGTGTTTGTGTTTCACTCTGGCTTCTCCTCCAGGTTCACTCCAATACGGGGATGACACTGTCTCTCCCAGCCTGGTCCATGAGTCCTTCCGGGGAAGTCACTCCCTGAATTTCTCTAGTCCCTTACAGATCAGAGTCGGGATATTCCACACTGCAAGGAGCCTCACCTGGGGAGCCGAGGCTGTGGACAGGTGGCCTGGTGCTCCAAAGCGAGCCACCTCCGGGCCTCAACGCCCTTGCTTGGTGAGTGGGGAGCATCACGTGATGCCATGTGCCTGCTTGGCAGTTACTGTGGCAACAGCCAGTCTTCAGCCTCCTCCAGACAGTGCCTCAGAGCCCGGGGTGCAGAGACTCTGCAAACCAGGGCTGGGCTGGTCACTTTGCAGGTCCAGGTATCTCCAACCAGGTTGTGGATACAGGTGCCAGCGTCCTCCCAAGTCCCAGGCAGTCAGCGAAGACACTGTGGTCAGTCACATGAACTACAGCCTGGGAGGTGGTGCCTCCTGCATCTGCCTGAGCACGCACGCCCAGTGGTCAGGTCCCTGGAAGGTTTTCCTCTCGGAGGCCAAGGACTCCAGCCATGACTAATCCAGCGTCCCCTTCCCACACACCAGTCAAATAAAACCTCTGCAGTTTCCCTTGCATTTGAGTTGCGCTGCTCCCGCCCACCCCACTTTTCTTCTGGAAACTTTCATGTATCCTTCCAGCCCAGGGTCCATGTTCCCTTCTCCAAAGCACCATTTCCACCACCACTGAACCCGGAGTCCACCCAGCTCCATCCTCCCAGGGAGAATCTTCCCCCATTAGGTCTTTCACAGCATGGGGCAAATCCCTCTGATGGCCCTGTAACTAGTGCCTCTATGATGGACCCCCTCAGAGTCAGGGAAACCATTTTTGCATCATATTGTCAGTCCAGCACCTAAGACAGCACCTAGAGTTAGTAGCTTATCAAGTGGCTTTTTGCCTCCTGGGCCACCAGTCAGAGAAGGTGTATTTGGCTCTGATGGGATGTGCTCCCACTTAGGGGATGTGCTCCCCTTCGGTTGGGAACACACAGCACTGCACATCCACTGTGGACATGACTGATTATTGCCAGAAGCCCCACCAACTCCTCTCATCTCTTGGGTTCCAATTTTGATTGCACCCCATGCTTTCACTCATGTGGCATGTACCTGCCACGTGCCACTGCTCTGGGCGCCTGTGGGAGAGCAAGATACACCCTGGCCTGCTAGGAAACCCCAATAGGAGGGAGATTATAGTAAACAGACATGTTAGGGAGTTTCAGGGGGCTGTCGTACCCCCAGAACAGGTATCTGACTGCATGTGGGAGCAGAGAGAAACTGGTGTCATTGGGGACTCATGGCAAGTACAGGGCAGGTGGACCTGGGCCTGGGGGTGCCCAGACACTGACCCAGGCACCTCCTGTGTGTGACAGTGGGGCAGGCCCTGACTCGGCAGGAGGCTATGCTCTACTCCAGATGCCCCAGCCAACCTTTGGGAGCCCATTACAGATTCCAGGCACAGAGCTGGTGAGACACAGACCACTAATTTACACCCACCCTCTTTATTTTCTTTCCTTCGTGCTAACTGGCATCTCTGTCTGACCTTCCCCAATCCCCTGACAACCTGGGTGTCTGCCTGGCTAGCTGCCATCCGGACTGTTTTTTTTTTTTTTTTTTTTTCCAAGCCCTGGCTGAGACCCAGGACACATGGGAAGGGCAGGGGTGGGGGCGGGTGGGCGCAGTGTGTGCTGTGAAAAGCCTGCTCTGCCATTCAGTCCGAGTGAGGGATGGAACCGGCTTCTCTCTGAAGTGATGCCCAGCCGGCAGGGCTGCCTCTGTCCTACCCCCTTGAGACACCCAGGCCGATTTCAGTGCAGATGGCACCAGCAGATGCCAGTCCCTAGGAGCTCCTCGCCTCCTTAGCTAATGAGGGGAGCAGGTGAAGGGGCCGGTAAAAGTGATCAGGGTGGGACATGGCACAAGCACTGAATTAAGAGTCAGGAAACCTGGGTTCTAGTCCCAGTTCTGCCACTAATGAGCTGCGTGGCCCTGGGCAAGTCGCTCCTGCTCTCTGAGCGGTGTGTTCCTGGTGTCGCAGCCTGAGATTCTCATGCTTGGGATGGTGCCTGCTGCTTTGGAAGGAAAGAGAATTTCAAATCCTGGTTTCTGTTCCACTTTTGACCTCTGCATGATATTGGGCACATTCTCCAACTTCTCTGAGCTAAAATTCGCCATCTTTTACAAGGATAACATACGGCATGGGAGTTAAGACTAAACTCCCATAAAGCAAGGGTCTCAACTGAACCCAGGAAGAAGTCCTGAGGATCCACAGATCCCCTTCTTCCACTTACCCCACTGTCCAGTTCTGGGATTAGTCACAAAGAAGCAGCTGGTCCACCTGCTGCATTTTCTGTCCTGTCCTGGGCTCCTGTCCTGAGTTCCTGTCCTTTCTCCACACTTACCACCTCCCTCTGCTTAGCCTGAGTCCTCTGACACTCTTGATTCAGCTTTTCCAGACCAGGGGGCTCTAGAACCAGCTCTGGGAATGCTGAGCCTTCAGAGACCCAGGTCCCCATTCTGTGCTAAGGTGACTGCCTCGGGTGGGTGGGGCCAGCTACACACTCAGTAGGAGGGAAGCAGTATCTGTTCACAGCCCCTCCAGTGAGTGGGCAGCAATCACAGTTGCTGATAAGCTGGCAAGAAGGCTATTGATCAGATAACCCCACTTTTACTCCTGGAAATTGCGGAAGAAACACATGATTAGGCATTCAGGTCTGGGTGCAAGCACAGGCTAGGCACAGCACCCCCACCCCACACAGCCGCTAAGAAAGCCCACAAGTGTGTCTGCCACAATGACCAGCCCTGGGCTCACGGGCCAGTTGGCAAGGCAGGAGACAAGGACTGGCAGGAGGCGGCAGAGAAGAGGACCTGGTAAGGCAAGGAAGATGTATGGGGAATTCCTTTAGACTCTGAGGCTCCATCAGAGAAGAAACTAAATTCCTAGCCTTAGAAGGGAAGACCCCATAGAGAGCCCTGTTGATGAAGGGTGCCAACCAGGGTGCATCTGAGGAATGCAACCCTGAAATGGGGCACAAAGCCATCTTCAAAGCATTGTAGGCAGCCAGCTGTGGCGTTTAGGTTACCCTGCCCTGATGCACCGCCCCAGTGCACTGGAGTGGGTGAGGCAGCAAGGGTTACAGCCCCGCCCATCTAGACTGCCCCAGGTGCCCTAGGGCACAGCCTGAGACTATGGCCTGATTGGGAAATGTTACTGGCTTCTCAGCCTCCCACAGGAAAGTCTAATGTAAGTTGAACACACAACTACTTGTTCCAGGGCAGGGTGTTGGGGCCTCTGTTTGCACTGTGGGGGCCCACAGAGCCTCGACTGTGAGAAGGTAGAAACAGTGAGAGATAAGGTGCCCCCCACTGCAGGGATGATTCCTGGCTCTGTCCTGTCCCTCGAGGGGCCCCATCATCCTCCCAGGTGATGGCCATTTCTGGGCTGGGGAAAGAAAGGCCCCAGACCAAGTGCAGACTGAGTTTGCATCATGAGAGCTTTTAAGAGAGGAAAGAGAGGTTAGGCCTCTGCTGTCAGCCACCCTCTCCCCAGGTCTGGGGAGAGAATAGGATTTTCTCAAGTTCACCCAGGAACTAAACAGTGACTTAGTAGTTGAGCACAAGTTCAGTGTCCTTCCCTACACCCCAAAAGACACAGAAAGATGTGTGCTTGGAGATGCTTCTGTGTTTTTCTCCCCCAAATTATGGGTGACCCTGGTCTCCCAATAGCTGTCATAGCTTGATGAAATATAAACTTGTGATGTTTTGAGACTATTGGAGACACACAGCTGACCCAGAAGACTTGAAGCAGGTGGCCAAAGAGGTTATGGAGAGAAAGACCTTTAGTCCCAGGTAGTCCCAGCTGCCATGGACAAGAGCCTCCAGACACTCAGCCCAGATGCAAAAAAGCTCCACACCAGCCCCATGCTTAGAAATTTGGAGAGTCCATGAAGGGAATGAGGAGACCAGGGGGTTCCCTAGATACCCATGGAAGATTCTGGAATAATAAAAATGCTTCTGTAACACACACACTAATGTCAGTTTTCAAGAGAGCACTGTAAGCTGTGCACGATTACCCATACTTTACAGAAAAGGTAAAGCAGGCACAGAAAGGTTAAGTAACATGCCCAAGGTCAAAAGGCAGATACTGCCAGAGCCAGACACTGAACTCTAGAGCCTCCCTCCAAAGCCTGCATTCTTAAGCACCTTGCAGCACAGCCTCCCACACTGAGTTAAGACTCTGCCTTCTTCAATGTGGGGCCTGGTCCCTGTTGGAGGTGAACCTGCTAGAAGGCCTGGAGCCTCCAAGACTAGCTCTGGCCCACCTGCCCGGGGCCTGTGGGAATCCAGCCCCAATTGCCCAGCCCCAGGCACCTGCCACTCTGACAGCTGGCCCGGGCTGGGGGCTGGGCCCCGCCACCCACGTTCTCTACAGGGATACCCAGCCATCAGTTTTAGACTAACGCTTCTCTCCACAGCCCAGCCTTCCCCAAAATTTTACAAATGCTGGAAGATAAAAGCGCAGAGACCGGCATGAATGGAGTGGGTTTTTAAGAGACGGTGTTTATCATCAAGATGCCTCTGATGTGCGTAATTTGGATTCTGATGCATTTCTGGGTTGTTTGTTGAATTATGCATCAGCAGCTTCTACTGCCGTAAAAGTGCCACTGTCACGCGGCTGCTCGGAAGCCTACAGCAGCGGAGACAGTTGGGCTCACAGTTTGGATACTGAGATCTGGCTTTGATGAGAGAGAACCAGCAGAGAGAGGGAGGCAAGAAGTGGGGAGAAGGAGGTGAGAAGAATTGGGTGACAGGCGTGAGCAGAGTGGCCGCCTTGCCACACGCCCAGGGGAGCCCATGCCAGGAGGGAGGCGGGACCCAGACGCCAGCTTCCCGGAAGTCCAGCCACGTCCGCGGTTCCCAGCAAGAGAAGTTGGGGAGAGCAATTCCCTCCTGGGAAGGTGGGACAGCACCCATTTGATGCTCATCCATGTCTGCACACAAAGTGCTCTGCTCTCCTCCAAGTGGAGGCTCCAGAGGGTGGGGTCTGCCTGCAGCCCCTTACTGCTGTCATTGTAAATTTTTTCTAAGTGTGTTCACATGCATTGCAAGATGCTATCCTTATTTTATTTTCTTAAAGATTTATTTTTATTTATTTATGCATATAAGAACTGGGGTAGAGGCCAGACTTATGGGGGTGAGAGGATTCAGCAGAGACAGAGTGGGGTGCAGAACAGGCAGATCAACTGAAATACACTGCTGAGGGGAGCAGTGGGCAAGACAGGAGCCGGTCTGCTGTGCAAGATGTAGGTCGGCTCCCTGGATGGGGATCAAACTCAGGCCACACTGAAGGTAGTGCTCAGATTTAACCCCTAGGCCACCAGGCAGTCCCTCCATCCTTATTTTAAAAACCACAACTAGTGCCAGAGTGCCTTTTGGTGAGCAGGGGGGTAATATACCTACAGGCACATGTCGCTCAGTGGCCAGAATGAAATCAGAAAACCAGTTTCGTGACTCTGATATCTTCTCATCAGCTCAGGCTTTGTTGTCTCACAGTGAGGACCCCAGGCTCTGACACCCCATAAGGCCCACCATTTAGGCCCATCACACAAGTCCTGTGCCCAGGAGAGTGGAAGGCACCAAACCCTGAGCCAGGCCACCTGGTCCAAAGTCAAGCTCTGCCTCTACCAAGGCGCATCCCTGAACAGGTCATTTAACCCTCCTAGCCTCAGTTTCCTCATCTGCAAAATGGGCCTGATAGCAGCTCTATACCTCACTGAATGGAAGAATATATTTGAAACATTTATCCCCAGGCCAAGGAGAAGCTGAGCGACCAATACGTATCATCTGCTGACTTCATTATAGTTATTCTCCACTAAGACCTTTGTGCATTGAGAAGGTTAATCTTGTGAAGACCCTGATAAGTGTCCTTTCTACCAGAGGACTGTGTAGGGCAGATTCTGTTGAGTCTCCCAAACTAGGGGTCAGCCAGGAGGCCCTGAAATCAGTTTGTGTGGGGCTGTTGCTATATGGGTTTAACTGGAATCCTTCCCTGCCTTGGTCCTTTTCAGGAAGCCCGTGGGCCAGAGCCACCCTCCTGGACTGGCCTAGTTTGGGAGCCTGAGCTCCAGGGACACAGGGAGGCCCCTCAGCACAATTATAAATTAATCTAGCAGCTCTCGCTGAGCTCATTGCCATAAATGGCGCTAAAAGCTCAGTCTCTTCCAACCCACCAGGCTCGGGGCTCCAGGATTAATGAGTGTCAGCTGCAGGCAGGCTGGTGGGGACAGATGCAAACTTAATGAGCGGGGTTCCGGGCCTTGTGGGCTCCAGGTGGGCTGGACTGAGGAGCAGGTGTCATTGCTGAGTGCCCCTTTGAAAGACAGGCTGTTGTCATCAAGTGGCATCTCACAACCCCACCCAAAGTGCCACACCAGATGCCCAAAAGACCATCAACATAGACCAGGCACCCTGAGGCCACATCCCTGCTCCTGGTGGGGTTAGTGACCAGGCTTTGCCCAAGGTCTCTCAGCTGTGTGACTAGAATCTCAGGGGGGGTTCTAGAATCCTAGCATCCTCTTCCTCCCCATGCTATCCTGTTGGTGTTACATCTGATTCCAGACGTCTCTGTTAGAATTTTCCTCAGTCATATCACTGGAAAATTTTCCAAATAAGTGGCTGTCATGTTTGCCCAGAGTGACTCACATCTATGCAGATTTCATGAATGGACTCAAGTGGACACAAGTGGTCAGTCTTATGCTGATGACTAGAAGGACACAGAGCAGCCCCCAGCAGACTTTAGGTCAATTAAGCAGCACACATCCTATGGAGAGTGATCAAAAGCATAAAACAGCCTCCTTGGTGCCACAAGGGGTTAAGCACCACACTATGAAGCAATCCGCAGCCTCTGCAGCACAAATTCAATCCCCAGCAGGCCAGGGAGCAACCCACATGGTGCAGCAGACCTCTCCTGTCTCGATCACCCACTGCTCCCCTCAGCAGTGTACTTCAGTCAATCTGCCTGTTCTGTTCCCCACTCTATCTCTGGTGAATCCTCTCACCCCCCGCATCTCTGGTCTGTCCCCCAGCTCTTACATTCATAAATAAATAAATCTTTTTTAAAAAAGCATAAAACATAACAATAACATTATGCTTATTTACTGAGCACTTATTTTGTGCCAGAAACTGTTCTAAGCTCTTTGTACTAGGTTTTTCAGGAGATAAAACCAAAAGACACTGAGTAATAAAGCTTTGATGAAAAGGTCACCTTGACTGGAGACACCGAGAAAGACTTTGTGGGGGAGGCAGGACCATAATGGAAGAACGTTCTAGAAGCAGGAGCAGACACACTGAGGCCAAGGAGGGAGTGAGTTCCCTGAATGGCACAGGCTGATGCTCTGGAGGGCAGAGTTTGGTGGACACCAATCTTTGAAAATGTTATAGGATGAAATTTCAAAATCAGGGCTCTATTCCTTATTAAAGTTGTCTCCTTCAATGATGGTTTCACTGCCTCCTTTCCATCTCTATGTACAATGTGATTTTTTTTAGTAGGTAAAATTTATTCAGTGAGAAGTACAGATCTTAAGTGTACACTTTGATGAGCTTTTGACAAACGTATTTGCCTAATGAACACCCCAATCTAGATCTAGAACACTTCCACAGGGCATGAAGAATAAGGAAGGTGACTTTTAAAATCTGATTGTTCTGTACTTACAGCTCCTGGGCATTTGTGAATTGGAATACATCAAAATGATCAACTTCCTTTCTTGCTCAACTCCAATCCACCTCCCATCCCAGGAGAAAAATAAAATAAAATTAAGCCACATCTAGAGAGACAAACGCCTGGTGAGTGTGTCACTCATCTTTGTGGCCCCAGAACTACGCTCAATATGTGACACAGAGCAGATGATCCATATATGTTCCTTAAATAAGGGAGAGAATGAAAATCATCAGAGTAAAGTCTCCCAGGAAATCATGGACTCCATTTCCTCTAAGCTCCCACACAACACCGGCAATCATGAAACCTTCCTGTGTTCTCTACTGAGATTGGAAAGGAGTTCTCAGCAGGATGCAAAACAACATCTTCCTCTACTCTCCCCATCCCTGAACCCTAGTGTGGCCATCTCCGGACTCAAATTCCAGGGTCTGGGGAAAAACAACTTGTGGCTTGAGGGGTGTCCATCTTACCCATAAGCTGTTCAGCAGACAAAGTCTAAGACAAAATGTGTCCCCAGCCCCTCTCTTCCTTCTCAGCATTGATGGTGCAGCCCACTCCTTCATAACTTTTAGGCAAAAAGCATCCCAGAGTTCCCAGGGTAAAGAGAGGCGCTTCAAGGAGGACTCCCCACCTGCCCGTGGCCCATTTGCTGACTAGCCCACTGGGCACCTGGATGTGGCCATAGCCAACATTTGCACCCTCCCCTTGCCTGGGAAAGCTCACTCTGCACAGCTTGCTGGAGATGCAGGCTTATAAACAGCATAAGCCAGCATTCCAATCAGATTATTTCTTACTCGCAATATTGCACAAAGAGAAAAAAAATAATGCTGAACATTCTGTTCATGAAAGAAAAAATAGCAGCAGAAAACTGTCACATTGTTTGGTCTATTTTCAATTTCATTCCTGAGCCCTGGAAATAGCTGTCTGTGCAAGCAGGCCAGGGGAGGACGCCAGCAACCTGACATGAGGAGCCCAAGATGGGGCTTGGGGTCTCGGGGTAGGAGAGCCACAGCTGTGAGACTGCACGTACCTGATGGATCACCACAGCTGGAGAAAAAACTTCAAATTGGGAAGGATCTAGAGAGACAATGCTGGGCACAGTCAGATGCAAATGAGGTGGAGCTCACTGAACAATGGCCCTCAACCTCAGTTGCATGTTGGGATCACCTGGGAGCTTTGAAAAATAATGCTATCAAAAGGTAGTCGCAACAATCTTTGCATGTGATAAAACTGCCTAGAAGTAAATATACACACAGGTGAAATCTAAATAGGGAACTGGTGAGTTATACTAGTATAAATTTTCAGTTTATGATTACTTATGATAATCGTGTAAAAATGCTGACATGGGGGGGTGTGCGGTGAAGTAATCTCTGCACAGTTTCATGAAGTTGCATGCAAATTCACAATTTTTCAAAACAGAAAGTTTAAAAAAGTGCTGCCACGGTCTGATCTATGGTCAAGGGTGCAGTCTCTGCCTCAGAGTTGTAAAAGCTCTCCAGGGAACTCTGTGTGCCGTCAAGGTTGAAAACCACTGCCCCAGAATTGCTGATGCTGAAGGTAAGACAAACAGAATAACGTGGAATAAATAAATGAGCTGCAGAACATCTGCAAGAGGTGTCACGTGCATTCAGAAAAGGGGGAGGTGCCAAGGTGAGGGTGGAAGTGGGATTAACCAGGACCTGATGAAGAACAGTCAGATTTAGGAACAGGAAAGGCAGAATAGGTCAACAAAGGAGGGTGTGAAGATCGTGTGGCCACTCTGGGAGGAGAAGGCTTGAACGTGGGCACAGTTGAAGAGTGAGAGTGGCTAAAACATTTAATAATATTGCTATCCTTGGGCAGGTGGTTCTCTCCTACCTGCATCAGCTTTAAGTCCTTGCAAATTACCAAAAGCAACTCTTAGCAATCAAATAATTTTCTGGAAAACACTTGGCATCTCTCAGGTAGCCAAAATTCATTGACATTGGATAGGTTTCAGAACAGTCTCGATGGGTATAAAAGTAAGCATCCTCACCATGGCACCTTCCCCCTTACCCATCTGCACCTCCGCTAACCTTAGGTGTCCCCAACCCAGCACCAGAAAATACCAGAAATGATCTGGGCAGTGATAAAATAGAAACATTAATATCTACATACCAAAGCTAATGCACTTAATACAGCAAACCTTTGAGTAGTCACTCTTTATTCTTAGTTTACACACAAGTCCAATAAATTTGATTATCAGTTTCCCAGTTCACAGGAAATTAAAAGGCAAAAATTGAATAGGTGACACGTTGGATAGAATCTCTGACAACAGTGATAGTTGGCAGACACTCCAACAGCAGGAGGAAGACATGTATAAAACATAACCTGGGGTACTCATCCAGAAGAAGACCACCTTAACAAGGTCGCAGGGCTTGCTCTTAAAGGTGGAGGAAAAGCTTTGAGATGCTCAAGTTTGAGTTCTCAAAGCCCTGCAGAGTTTTTTCTTGCTTTGTTCCCATGTCTGTTGTGAGTCAGCCCAGTGCATTTTCACTGGTGATTGGCTGCAGGTTGCCAGGGGTAAGGGCCAGCTTGGCAAGACTTTCTGATTCCAGAGAACGCCTCTGCCAAAAACACCAGGGCCCCCTTGAAACTCACTTTCTCCCCTTGCAGTACCCACCACTGCCACCCCACCACAAAGGGCAGTTGCCCTCAGATTACTCAAGTCGGCGGGTCAATCGGGATTCATGGAAGACATCTTTGGACCCAGAGCAGCACCTCCCACATCGTGTTGACTGCATCGTCACTTGGTTTGTTATATGTCTGGTTGTGAATTCCAGTTCTGCTTATTTGGAAATGCTGGTGTCCTTGACCCTGTTGCCTCATTTTTTTTTGCTGAGCACGTCACCCTTGCCCCATCATCCAGGGAGCTAGTGTGGAAGTACTCATCAATAAAACACAAGCCACATCAGACCAATGTCACCATGCAAATGTGCAATGAACAGAACTCTCCCTGCCTCCTTGGTACTGAATCTGAGTACCTCCTAGACCAGAGGCATTGCCTTTGTTCTGCATGGTTCAGAACCACAGTGGAAGGGCCAGAACCCCCACCCCAACCTCCATGGGACCAGGTGGACTGGACAGTGCCCCTCCATACCCACATCCCAGGACAGGAGTGAAGGAAAATACTGGCCCCAAACCAGACAGGCAGGTAAAGGGGGGACCTCCAAACACTCTCCGGTCCTAATTGCTGCTAAAGATCGCAGGGCAGCCTGGGTGACACCTGGAAGTCCCCGTTGCATGGATTCTCAGGCATAGGACATAAATCATCTCCTTTCACTTGTTACTAATCTTGCCTCTTGCTGTGTCAGCTGGATTCCAGCATTGGCCTGGGTTGAAATGGGGACTTCTGTTCCCTCCCTGGGTTTTTCTCTGCTTTCTCTCTCCAACCTCCTCTCCTACTCCAATCCCCAAGGAAAGTGATGACAGAGGAATGCAAACTTCAAAATGCAGGCTTGAGGCTGCACTGTGGAGGCGGGAGGAAGAGGACGTTTGGGCACTGATGCAGGAGAGAAGGGAAGAGGATGTTTGGGCACCAATATAGGGGAACAGAAACTCCATGGCTGGGAGAGAAAGGTGGCATCTGGACCCACAGCAGACTCTCACTGTCCAGCGGCCCTCCAGGCAGACCCCTGTGGGCTCCCAGAGCAGCTGGTGGCTGGCAGTGCAGATGTACTTGCTTCTCTTGGGCTGAGCTGGGGAGCCATGCAGCAGGGTGGGGAGGCTCAGCTAGGCTGGGGCTGGGGCTGAAGTGGGTTCTGCCATTTCTGGGGGTGAGAATCACCCAGCTCTGTGGATGGCAGGGAGAGAAGAGCTTCTTTCACTTCTTTTGTTTCCATGGGCCCCCAGGCACCTCTGTGATGCAATAGGTGTCAGATCCCCTTGAGGGATTCCCAGGAGGCCTGACCCTAAATAACTCCTCCAGAAGCCTGGGCCTTACATCACCTCCAGCAGAAGCTTAGGATGCCACGTCTCGCCTGGTTCCGCCCCGCCAAGTTCCAGCCAACACTCCAAAACTCTTTCAAAAGACTCCACTCCCTTGAGCTATGGGAGACCTACCCAGTGACATCACCCCCAACCCCCTAGGGGGTGAGGTGCTGGCCCCCTTCCTCATGGGGCGGAGGAGGAGGCTGGAACTGCAAATGGCTCCTCCAGGGGGAACCCTGTGGGCGTCATGAGCAGCTGACAGAATGAGGACAGATGGCCATGCGCTGGGTTTCGGCTGAGGCTGCGCAGACCCAGTTCCGCCACCCCCAGTCGTGAACTGGGCAGAGGAGAGGCCGCACACCATAGGGCAGAGGTTAAGAGGGGGGCTCCTAACCAGCTGTGTAACTTTCCCATGCCCAGTTTTGTCTACTGTTACAGGCAGTGACAGTGCCACCTCATTGGGGCACAGAGATTAATCGAGATAATCCATGGAAAGTGCTGGGACCAGTGCCAAACCTGGGGAGGGGCCAGCGTAGCCAGCGTGGGTTGTGGTTACTGCTCTGATCACCTCGGCCGGTGTTGCTGTTATTGTTATTATTTATTATTGTTGTTTTATAATTATTCTCTCATGGCTGAGACCAGAGGCATACAGGGGTGGGGAGGAGCATGAGGGAGCAATGCAGGGGGAGGGACACTTATGACCTTGCTGTCACCCCCTCTGCCACCCCAGTTCTGGCCTGTCTTGCTTTTGGGGAGGGACCTGATTCTGCCTTTCTACTCTAGAAGAACAGTGGAGGCGGGTTGTTTTTAGAGAAGAGGGGGCAGCTAGAGGTGCATGAATATGGGGGGATGTCAGAAAATTCCCCTCTCAGGGATGATGTCTTCACCACAAAATTTTCAAATGCCATTGGCTAGGAATGTGGAGCTTCAGGCCCGGAGGTGGGCAGCACAGAGCAGGGCTGGAGCCTGAGCATTGTGGACTGAAAAGGGATTTTAAAGCAGCCGCTGCCAGTTGTTTGCCCTTCACTTCACAGAGGTCACTCCCTGGCAGATGCTGGGGCAGGGCCAGGCTGTTTCTTCAGCTCCTTCCCCCTTGCTGAATTCTAGGGCTGGGACTCCGTTCCTGCCACGTTTGACCCACCATGGGAAGCTGAGCTCTGCTCCCTTTACTCTCG